AGTTTCCGATAAGACAGTTTCGTTCACAAATATACCGGTATCAGGACTTTGGTTTTGCACGGTGCTGTTGCGAACCATGTTAATAATACACTGATGACCTGATCCATCGGATGAAGATGAGCATGTTCTGACACTCAAATCGTAAAATGGAACTGAAGTTTCATATATCAAATAAGATTCCGTTGGCTCGTTTGCATCCGAGTTCACAAATGACACGTAAACTTCCCATTTAGAACCAGCTTGCGAGGCGTTATCAGTGGTATTAGAAATCTTGTTGATTTGCGGAGAAGCAAGACCACCGCTTACGGTTACAAAAGCAGTGCTCGTTGTTCCGCGCACTATTGTCTTATTATAAATGCCATAATGTATTTCTTTTATTTCGAAGGGTTCCAGGCTGTTTAGTCGATATATATAACTAAATAACTTTTTAAAGCTCGGGAAAATCCAATTATCAGTAGAATAATCATACCTTAGTTTGACACGAGTCCAGGCAAGTCGGTCAGCCATTCCCGATGCAAAGCGCAAATAAAATTGATTTTCATTGTTTACATCTCGCAGCATGGGTGTACGAAACAACGTCTCAGTATACGTAGCATAAGGTCCTAGCCATATTTCACTACAAGAGTGAGGACGAACAAAATTAATACTTATTTGTTTCTAAAATAGTATATGCAACGTGATCTTACTAAAATACCTAGAAAGGATCTCTCCACTCCCCGAAGCAATTATTGCTCGTCCTTCATAAGCTCCATTAACAATTCGAAAAAATGGTATAAACAAATGATCATTTCCGAACACAAACAATTGTATAGGACGATCGCCCTTAATCGGAGGTACAAAATTAGGAATTTCGCAAAAATTAAACTCAGGCCAAGGATATTCGATAGTGAACGCGAAGACAGTTCCATTTTGATAAACTTGGCGAACAAACATTCGTGGTTCGAAGCAGGTATCGTTAACTTGTTTAAATAGCTGAACTATTGCACCATTATTGTAGCTTGGCCATATTCTTCGCACTTGCAGCATATCTTCACTTTCAGTATAGGTGATTCTGTTGTATGATAAAGCTGATGGTAGCATAATTAAAAGTAATATGTATAAACCGACCCAGCGGTTGAACATTATGAATTTTTTTTCAAAAG